AGTGGGAGAGGCACCTCTGAACCCTACAAATACAGTATTAACTATCTGAAAACACATGGAAAAAATCAGTTCACAGAGAGAAGTACAAATGGTCAATGGAGTCTGACAAATGTCTGACCTCACTTTGATCACTGAAGAAACAAATTACCATTTTTAAACTATCAAAGTGGCAAAGATACTCTAAAATGTGAACACATGGTGTGTGTGAAAGGACAAGAAACAAGCACTCTCATGAAACCTTGCTGATATTTCTAAGGGCAATTTGGCAATAATATACCAAAAGTCTTTTAGTTTTCATAGGTTAGTGTTAACACGTTTAATCAACAGAAGCGTACGATTCAGTGTAATTGTAGAGGCAGGGGCACGAAGCTGGCCAGTCGCCTTTTCTCAGCAGGAGGCTGTGGCTTGGCCCTGTCAGCTCTGCTCCCACCTTCTGAAGGCACCCACTGCCACTGCCCTGCCTGTCAGGGGTCTAGAGACGATCTCTCTTGTCTTTCTTTAGCTCCAGCATGGCTCGCTCTGTCCTTAAAGAGCAGGGGGGCAGGCAGAGCCCCATCCAGTTACAGGAGACCCGCTCCTGCCACTTCTTCCATCACGCCTGTCTCAAAACCTCTCCTCTCCCGCTTGTGGCCCCGCCCACCTAGCTTGGTGGGAAGTTTCTTCTCCCAAGGGTCCTTCTTTATGGTATGGTTCTCCGGGCATTTTGGAGAGGAATAAAAATAGTCTCTTTTAATGTGGAGCAAAGGTACTCATGCTTCTACAGCTATAAAAGGTTCCCATCTGTTGGTTGATTCACGGTAATAGCAGCTTTCACTGGGGGGCTGTTTGTATCGGCCATGCAACTTTAGTAGAAGTTGTGGAGTTTGGAAAGCACTAAAAGAATAGCTGGAAAACCAAACGAGATATTCCAGGGAGTGCAGAAGCTTTTGGGCAAATTCATTCATTCACTCCGCACTCACTCCCTACACTTGATCTTAGCCAAAAGGCCGAGAAGCGATCGCACTCACTCCCTGAGCATGCATCCAGAGGTGGGTGGCAGGCCAGGGCGCAGAGAACAGCCACTTACACACAGACTCCGGCAATTCACTGTAGGGTAAGTGACAGGTTCAGAGGTCAGACAGTAAAAGCCCCAGGGGGAGAGAAACAGGACAGATCATTAAGTGTGAATTTTAAGCAAAGAAAATATTTGTAACACCTGTAGCCCCAGGACCCAAAACTCCCTGACTCTCCAGAAACGTGACTGGGGGACGGGGCAGCACACGCTCCCCGCTCCCCCTTCACCTCCTATTCCACAGATTACTCCCAGAAGGAGCCTCTTTGTCTTGAATGTTTCGGGGGAACCTCAGTGGGAATCTTTCCCTCATCCTTTCGCCACATCCTCAGATGAAAGGCAGTTTTAGAGCGCTCACAAAATAGAAAATAAATAGGGAAGAATCGGCGCCTCTGTCCTGAGGGCTGGGAATCATCCAGGACTAGTGACAGGACTAGGGTTCCAGAGGCTTCTCCAACGCAGAACAGGCTCTACATCTGCAAGTCGGGTATGTGGCCCCAAACACATTTTCCCACAGAGACAAGATGCAAGTCAGGGTTCATTCTCAGGTCAGGCTGACAAAGCTCTATAGTAACTTGTACAGTCCCAAAGTAACACAGTGTTTTTCCATAATATTTTTATTGAGATAGAATTCCTGTACAATTCACCCTTGTAAAGTATACAATTCCATGGCTTTCAGCACATTCACAAAGTTGTGCAACCATCACCCATATCTAATTTTAGAACATTTTGTCACCCTCAAAAAAAAACCCTGCACACTAGCAGGCACGCCTTCTTCCTTCTCAGCCCCTCAAAACCACTAATCTACTTCCTGTCTTTACAGATTTGCCTATTGTGAACATTTCATATAAATGCAATCATAAAATATGTGGCCATTTGTGTCTGGCTTCTTTCACTCAGCATAATAGTTTCAAGGCTTATCCAAGTTGTAACATGTATCAGTACCTCATTTATTTTTCAAAAGCCTGTAACAGTTTCTTTTTTCTACCTCACATGAAATCCCAATTCTAAGAATTTATACTATAGAAATAATCAGAAATGCACAAAAGCATCTGCGTGCAAGTATGCATTACAATATTATTTATGACAGGAAAAAACCAAATGCTTAATATAGAGACTGGATACATAAACTTATACATTTATATGATGGAATACTATGCAATATAAAGAAAAAAGATTCTGAAGGTTATTATAAGGTAAGAGAAAAAGCTCACTGTTAAAGAAAGTTAAAAATTGTATTTTATAAAATGTATCTGGTGGGCCGTGGCTGGTGTGACTCAGTGGACTGAGTGCCGGCGGCCTGCAAACCAAAGGGTTGCTAGTTCAATTCCCAGTCAGGGCACTTGCCTGCGTTGCAGGCCAGGTCCCCAGTTGGGGGAGTGCAAGAGGCAACCACACACTTATGTTTCTCTCCCTCTCTTTTCCCCTCCTTTTCTCTAAAAATAAATAAATAAAATCTTTAAAAAATATAAAATTAATTTGGTGGGACATAAATCAAAATATATTACCAGGTATACTGGGTAATAGAAATATGGATGGTTTCAAGTTTCCTATTTATAGTTATATACTTCGATTTTTTTCTTCAATAACTTGAATGAGCAATAAAAAAAAAAAAAAAGTTTGTCTGTAATAACATTTTTCTACTGGGAGAAAAAACAACTTTTGGGATGCGAACAGAAAGGTACCCACCGTTAAATTCAGAGTCCCTCATGTTTTCATTTATATATATAATTATATTACATACTTGAAAATAAAAATAAGCCAATCAATAAATTGTTTCAAAGCATGTAAAAGCCCCTTCCAGGTGGCTCAGCTGGTGAGTGCTGCCCTGATGCACCACGGTTGCCGGTTTGCTCCCCAGTCAGGGAACATACAACAATCAAACAATGAACACATAAATAAGTGGAACAACAAATTGTTGTTTTCTCTCTCTCCCTTCCTCTAAAATCCATTTTTAAAAAAAGTTGTGAAAAACAGAAAAAAAGACTATCAATATAAAGCAGAAACTGAATAACAAATAAATGGGATAGATCAATAATCCAGTTCTTTTAAGGACCAAAAGGACCAGTTTCCAGGTCAAAAGGACAAGTTTAAAAAAAAAATTAAACAAGGAGGGTCTTAAGAAATCTGACAAGAAAAACAAAGCTACACAAATAAAGTTGGAAATGCAAAGGTGGGTCTAACCAGAGACAGATGTTTAAAGTGCAAATAATATGTGCTACTAAATTTGAAGGTGTGAAACAAGTGGGGAAGTAAATTACAAAAATAGACTCAGAAAGTAAAAAAGCTCAAAGAATCAAAAAACAAAAATAAATCTTTCAGGCTTTTATCCGTAGACTTACCTCCCTAAAATGTCTTTATGACAGATAATTTAAAGTAAGTTCTCGCGAACTTTCCAAAACAAACAATTCTAAAGCTATATCAAATGTTCCAGGACATACAAAATCATGACAAATTACTAAACGAATTTTATGGGGCTATTTTAACTCTGAAATCAAAACACAACCAAGGCTCCTTTTCCACACCAAAGAAAACTACACACATGGACCAAAAAATTCTAAATACAAAATACAAATACCTAAAACCAAATTGGCCGTCTAAGTTAACGCTCAAAACACTCCAATAAAAGTCAACACCTATTCTTATTAAAAACACCAAAAGCCACAAATCAAAGAATAATCATTTACATGGCTCTCCCGGCCACTACATAAACAATAAAATTCATGCAGTAATAGGTGAAACTATTCCAAGTAAAATGAAGAATAAAATAAGGAAAAGCTAATTTGATAAGCCACAAAGCAAAACCAAGAGCAGTTAGTTCTATAAACGCAAAGTAGAAATTTAAATACAGGAAGGAAAATCCCATTAGTATCAACAACATCAATAATCAAACCATCAATAAATAAATAAATAAAACGAAACCAGAAAGTACCTGAAACTAACACTAACCCAAAATATCAGATTCTAAACATGAAGAAAATTACCCACCTTGACTGTAAGGGTTTTTTTAAAAAACAGGGAGTGAATTTTATTTCTAAATGAGATAGCTGAATGATATAAAGAAAATGACTTTTAAATACTCCATTCCTAATATTGGAGTCACACCTTCCACAGGTAGGTTGTGAAGTCAGCCCAGCCCCTAAAGCCAAAAATGGGAAGTCATACGAGAAACGCTACACAGCCATTAAAAAGTGTGATGAACAGTCAGACTAATCAACATAGGAAAACGATCGCCATCAATTGTCGAGAGGGAAAAAATGTAATCACAACAGGATCACTATGATCTCCTGGTGGAAGTGGGTGCAGAGACACTTAGCAGTAAAGAAACACTGAAGGGCACAGTGGCCGCCTCCGGGCGGTGTGGTCACCTGACCGCCTGCACTCAGAACTTCTGCCGAGGGTGGGGGGCGGGGGTGCGCGGGGCAGGGGAAAGTGGTCGGGGGAGAAGGGAGATAAATGTATTTGAACAATAAAAAAAATTTTTTTAAATAAATTCTGCAGCATGTACAACACAACTTTTATAAATGGGGGTGGGGGCAGTTTAAAAGTAAAAAAAAGAAAAGAAATACACCAAAATATGAACCTTCTATGTTTTAAGGTGGCCTAATTATGGCTATTTTTTAATTGCTTCAACATACTTTTCTGTTATTTTCCAAGTTTTCTACAATAATCTTGAAAAAGAAACCTCTGTGAAAAACTGTTAGAGAAATGTGAAACACCATGTTAATAAATTTCCTTTGGACCCTCTTGTTCGCTTGTGCTCACATGCGCCAAATTCTCAGTTATTCTCCATCCACGGTATTATTTTCAGCATTAAATTCAAAATTTACCAGGAATCATTTCCATTAGAGCAAGAAGGATAAAAAACATGAACTGCTCACATGCTTGTTCAAATTTAAAAGGAAAGCCAGATATGGTGATGGGCCGAGAAAGGCGCGCAGAGTCTTACCGTAAAGCTGTTGTTGACATTCTTGGTGCTGGATTCGGCCACGCTGGCATCTGTCAGGTCCACCTCATCAAATATGATCGACTGGGGAGAGACACAGGGACCATGGCCGGCGTGAGGCGAAGGCTCCCCCAAGGCGGGCACACGTCCAAGCCCCGGCCCCACGCGGCTCCCCGCTGTCCTCGGCCCCAGCCAGTCACGCGCCCACAGGGGTCCAAGGCCTGACGCTGGGGGCCTGCTGACTAAACCAGCGCTGACTGCAGCCCCCATCTAGCCATGGGTGGGGCTCCGTGGTTTTTTTTAATCCAGGGAGGTCATGAGTGATTGCACTGACAGAAAAAACAGTAATAATAATAATAATACTGCGATTCTGTATTTATTTTCTGTAATACCAGTGTTTCACTTTTAAATGTGAAACATGTCCTCAGATGAGGTCCCCCTGGGAGAAGAGGGGTCAGGACTGAAGACCCTCTGCCCTGGCTTTAGCTTCTCCAGTAAGCACATTGGGAGAATGGTTTTAGGGGAAGAGAGACCAATCCAAAGAGAAGAAATATGGCTGTGAAAGAAAACAAGGGAGCAAAGTAGAAGGAATCTAGTCTTGGAGAGAGACAGGCTCCAGAAGAAGGGCCGGAAGAACGAGGCCTGGGAAGACCACCACTCCCCTCTGCTCCCCGCAAATCCGCGTCGTGTTCCCCTCCTCCTGTGAGCCTCACCGGCCCCTCTAAGAGGACTCCACAGGGAACTGCTGGAGGAAATACTAAGAACTCAGAAAAGAGACTCAGCCTTTTAAGTAATCTCCACAACCCCCTCAGAACTAAAATAACTATAAGGGTTTGTTGTTTTGTTTTGTTTTTTAAGTGAGGGATATGGTCAGAACACTTTCTAAACAAGTTGCTCTGTTCAGTTTCAAATTTTAACCCACTAACTCTCTAGGGATCCATCTCAAAATGCAAATGATTCAGATTCCAGATTTTTCTTAACACCAAAATAAAAGTATTGACAGTAACACTGATGCAAAAATACTGGTGTTCAGAATACCGAAAACTAGCTTTGCAAGCACACCGGTATCTGAGATGTGGAAGACCACATTCTTTCAAACGCGGAGGCAACTTGGTGACTCTCTTGGGCTCCTCCCTCCTCTTTGACGAGCATGTGGCTGTGGGTTCCAGCTTCAGTCTCACGGGCAAGAGGTCCCAGCCAGGAAGCCGGCGATAAAGAGCTGCTGTTCACTCACCAAGAAGCCCAGTTTTCGAAAATACTTTTCATTAGTTTCCCAGGTATATACTTGTCTCCAAACTCAAGTTACATACATTAAATATCTAAAGCTTTTTGAACGCCGATTAAACCCTAGTAAAACGGTTCTTAAAAAGACACTTTAATCCACAATAAGAGATGTATAAGCCTGTGAAAGATCTACAAGAAAGATATCCAACTATAATATGGTTATTTCTGTGACATTTTTTTCCTTCTCCATTGGTGACATACTACATTTAAAAAAATGAATAAAAATCAATGTTTATAAGCACTAAAACGTGCCTTGAGACAAATAAAACCTAGCACTGTGGAGTATTATGAAACTCTCTGGGAAAAAAATAGCTTTAAGAAGCAAAGCTTTTCCACAGATGAGGACCCAGCACCCAAATCTCCCCTGCAGGACCCCAGAGACTCCCCGCCATGAAGCTCCCTGCACCGCACCTCACCTTTGCAGTCTTTGCATAGTACAGTGTCCGCCCTCGCAGCTTGAAGTATCTCCTTTTCGACCTCTGGAATGAACTGTTCTGTTTGGTCAGCATCCCCTCTTTGATGACGGTCTGAAAGCACAGAAACGAGCTCATGAGCGTGTGTCTCCAGGGCACCCTGCACCCGCCCGCCCAACTGTACACTGCCGGTCTGGGGCATTTGCGTCTCTCGCTGACAGCCTAGCAGAGTATCTCTTACACTCTCCCCAGACCCTGACCTATGGACAGGCCGAGCGCAGCGCCAGGGGAGGGCTAACACAATTCTTTGCGGAGCAAGGGCATGCCAGGGCAGTGGGGGCTTCGAAGGCCAAGGTGTGCCCTGGATATGCCCGGGGGAGCAGCCGAAAGGGACAGGCTAGAAGGACCACTGCGAGCGGCCCAGGGCCAGTACATTCTCCAACTTCACCATTTGGTATTTTTCAGCTATTTTTGGCCCCATCTTCATGTTCTCAGGCCTCCTGCCATCTCTCAGGATCCTGATGCCAAAACTGTCCATGTAGGTTGCTGTGGGGCTCAGCAGGGTCCCAGGCCTGTGCCCCACTCAGCCCTCACCCCTACTCACAGGCCAGGTGCATGTGTCTGTCTGCACTGTGATAGAGAAGCAGGTGGCCAAAGTCACTAGAACTCATCTTGCAAATCTGACCTGTTCACCACAAAACAGAAGTTGTAGTAGGAGAATCAAGAGGTGGACGGCAGTCCACTCCCCTCTCCTCAATGAGAGCCAAGAGTGGGCATGGCTTCTCCTGGAGCGGTTTCCCCGACCCTGCAGGCCACCTAGAAGGTAAATGCGCCGGGAAGTGCTGCTTGGACACTGGCACGTGGAACCACCTGGAGCTACTAATGCAGACAAAACTAACACACAAGATGCAAGAAACAAGAGCCTGCTCTCAGCATCTGCGGGGCGCGTTTCACCCGCCTAACGGAAATGTCCACTACACACGGCGTCTCATCCCAGGATGGAGGCAGAACATACAAAGATTCTGTTAAAGGATGGGAATATTGGCTCAGAGACGCTTTTGTTTAATTATCTAATCCCATATAGCTTTGCACTTTAAGTAACTTTTTTTTTTTAAGTATCTATACGAAGCACTTGGGGCATGGGTGGCCACTTCAGATGACATAAGATGAAACCAGACACAGAAACTTCCCATCACCCAAACACATCAGAAGGCACGAGCGGAGCTCCGGCCATCTGGCCCTTCCTGACCAGTGGGGAAGCGCAGATCAGGATGCAGCGTCACCTGCCCCCGCAGGAGGGTGCTGGAGAAAGCCCCCTGCCCCGCACACGCCACCCACAGTGAGCCGAGCGCAGAGCCCCCCAGCTCCGCAGCACGCACAGCAGGCTGGGGTGTCCTGGGAACGCGGGCTGTGCACTCCTCCTCTACCCCTGCGACAGGAGGCCCCCTCTGTGAGCCCCTGGGCGTGTGCTGGCTCATAGCCACAGGCCGGGGACGGAGGAAGCTGGGCCGTGGGGCCAGCCTAGGGGTACAAACAGCAGTGCTCTCGACTCCTGAGAGAACCGACCCAAGAGAAAACTACCAAGAGTCCCCTCTACTCACTCAGTGATGGATACCTGCACCCTTACTTGTGAGGAGGTCGCCCACCTGCTCTCCCAAGTAATGGCGCCAGGAGAAGAAAGGAACACAACATCACCCAGCGGTCATACAATCACAGAGCCTAAAACCTCCATTCTTACCGAACACAGGTCTGGCTTTTTGGAAGTGTAGGAACACGTGTTGAACCAGAACCAGGCTGACCTCAGGCAGAGAGAAAGCCCAACCTCCAATCCCAGTAGCTCCAGAGAGAAACCAGTCTCTACTACGGAGAAACGTGCAGGGTGTTTCCCAGCCTTCTCTGCAGACCCAAGTCCACATGGTGACGCTCATCTCAACGTGCCCTTCCAGGGCCCAGGGAGGCTGGCCTGTGCACGGGAGGGCAGAGCCACGGCGCCTGCACCCCGCGGCAGGAGAGCCCTTCTTCCCGGCCCGCAGGACCCGATCTCGGGCGCAGGCACCTCTCCTCACCCATGGCCTTCCTTACCTCTGCAGGGGAAGGAATTGCTTCCATCTCCTTCCTAAATGCAAATTAAAAAAAAAAAAAAAGACAACAAAAGCAACAAGCACAGACCCAAAAAGTTAGGTTTTCTTTGAAGGATAAATGCTGGAGTATTTCTGCTTGTGTCTCGTGCTCCACATGTCACACATGAAAAAGGCAAAATTAAAACAGAATCCACCACACACACACACACACACACACACACACATCTTCAGAGAGCGGATGACAGCTGATCGTGGGCTACCCAAGGAGCGCTGCTGTTCTATTTATAGAACACGCAAGCTCAGAAAAAGACTGGTGGGTTTCAGCGGAAAAGGCTGGAGAAGAGATGAAGGCAGCAGTTCTTTGAAGCTTTCTCAGAAACTGCATTTCTTCTGATTCACTGCTCATGAATACTACAGATATGCTGCAGAATACTTTCAAACAGTCAAAAGCAATGAATTAGAGACGGTGAAGAAAACAACCCATCTGAATAACCCGCTGTGTTTTGCGTCAGGCAGCCCGTAACGGCACCCACAGGAAACTGCTCGGCTGGCAGGGCTGCTGCTCACAACCCGCAGAGCAGAGAGCCCGCCAAACACCCCGGTCTCAGGCACAGCTCACTCGGGGCGCGCTGCTGGGCTCTCAGAGCCGGCCTGTCACAATCTTTGCACAGACAAGAGGGCCAACTCCGTCGAAGAGGGCACCTTCATTACCACCAGGGACAAGAAAGGACGGATTTGCGACACACACAGGCACTGAGAGTCACATGGAGTTAGCAAGTGAGGCTGTGAGCACTGGCAAACCTCTGGAGGGGACGCAGATCCCCCGGCTGGACTCCAGGGGTCAAAGGCGGCAGAGCACTCAGCCTGAGCCTACGCATGGCCCTCGCTGCCACGGCCACCTGCTGCCCGGACAGACGCAGGCCCAGCCACAGGCCAGGCCGCTGAGTCACCTGCTGCAGAGGAAGCTCAGGAACAAAGAACTGAGGAAGGCAGCTCTGGAAATGCCCTGAAAAGAGGCTTCAACGAGGGGGCAGAGAAAGGTGAAAACAGGCCCTATGAGCCCTGGTCAAAGCCACCTGCCCACAAGGTCCTGTCTCCACGGGGCTGCGTGGGCCCAGTCCCAGGGTGAGGATGCCTCTCTCTGGAAAGGCAGTAAGAGCCCCTTCCCTCATCCGTCCCCTTCAGTCCCACCACAGCCACAGCTCTGGCTCTGAGGACTACGGGGACAGCACAGACCAGGGGAGGGGGGAGAACATGGGCACCAGGGAGGGAGCGACCCTCACCCCAGAGGGAAAGCATCGCAGAGCAGGTCTCAGAAGAAGAGCCGGGGTCTGAGCAGACCAGGCGGAGGGCGGAAACCATCAGAGGCTGCACAGAGCCCAGGAGGGCCAGGAAGGTGGGGGACAGACCCAGATCACTGACAGCCAGGCCTGTGAGTCACAGGTCAAGAGGCGGTGTCCCTGATACCTACTTTAGAAAGATGATTTTGGCCACAGTGTGGAGCAAAGAGAGGGTGGGGTGGGGGATGAAACCTGAAGGCAGAAAGAACACTCCAGAAACTCCTAAAAGGGCAGCCAGCAAGGACAAGTATCTGAGAGGAGGGGACAGAACACAGGCGTCCATGTCAGGGAGGACGGCCCACCACTGATGGCGACAGGGAGGCAGGACAGAAGCCCAGGGTGACTCCGTGGGGCCTCACCAGGGAAGATGTCGGCTTCGCTCTGGACATCCTGGTTCTGAGGGCCTTGAGGGCACCGGGCGAGCGGTGTGGAAAGCCAGCTGCAGGCACCGGCCAAGGGGAGTAAGAGAAAACTGAACAGGGGAGATGCCACAAGGAGGCCCCTTACAGAGAAGGTGTGGAATGGGAGGGGGTCCAGAGACCCAGCCAAGAACCCAAGGACACCCACACTGATGTAGAGAGAAGGTGGGAGTCTGAAAACAGAGGGTGGGAAGAGTGAGCAGCAAAGCAGGGGGCAGATGAGAAAGCACTGGGAAGACCCGGAGGATGGCAAACACACAGCAAGGTTCGCAAGGTCGTAAGTGGGACGGGGCAGAGCCAGGAGGACCTGCCAGAGCAGACTCAAGCCCCACCCAGGGCAAAGCCAGGTCAAAGTGCACTGAAGGGGTTGTTTTTCTTCACTTGCACATTAACTTTCATAAACATGGAGTCAAGCTGTACATACTGTACTTTAACTTCCTATTTTTTCTGTCGTGCTGTACCGCCAGCACCCTTCCATTGTAGCAAACATATTTTTGTCAGCTGCAGACTATTTCACTGCACCGATGTGCAGACAGCGATCAGCCCAGCCCACAGCCAGGACCTTCAGAGCGCTCCCCCCACCCCCCCACCCTGCCAGGGGAAGCTGCTGCAGCGGCACACCTGCACCGGCCTGAGCTGTTCCCTAAAGCAGGTTGCCACAAGGAGAATCTGGGCATCAAAGAGAGCCCAGAAACAGACCCAAAACCAAGAAGTGTGACAGCAGCAGTGTCCCAGGCTAGGGAGCAGAGAGCCAGCTGAGTCCACGAACAAGACGAAAACATTGCCATCTAAGAAGAAAACGCAGTGGTCCCTTCCCTCACACACCACAGACAAAAGTTGCATCCAGGCACATGACAGATCCAATGCAAAGGGAAAACATTAAGTTTCAGCAAAAGATATAGGAGAACTTCTTTAAGATTTTGGGACTGGGAAAAGTTTCTTAAACAGGATTTTAAAAATAGCCCTGGCTGGTGTGGCTCAGTGGATCCAGTGCCGGCTTTCGGGCTAAAAGGTTGCCGATTCCGTTCCCAGTCAGGGCACGTGCCTGGGTTGCAGGCCAGGACCCCAGCTGGGGGCGTGCAAGAGGCAACCGATCAGTGTATCTCTCACACGTCAGTGTTTCTCTCACTTTCTTCCTCCCTCCCTTCCCCCTCTTTAAAAATAAATAAATAAAAATTTTAAAAATAATACTGCAAGACTACTAAAGCCAACTATATTCCAACTGAGGAATTCTGCTCATTGGACACCTTAACAAAGAAAGAGAAGAGAGAAGC